AGTGGATGACCAATAGATCCTTCGATCACCTATGTGTACCATCAATAACAAAAAACAAAACAGATGAGGAAATATATCCTGGTATGAGAAATAAACTTGAACAATTCCCGACCATTTTTTGGGATAATGATGATATATGTCCTCTTCTCAGAAGATCGTTTCTGAAATGTATATATGGAAGAACTAGACAAGCCCAGTCAGCACATCCCTTCGTTGTCAACCCCGAAAGATGCCGAACAGCACTTTATCAAAACTCCTTCATCCATAGAACGGCTAGGCTCTGGAATTCATTGCCTGTGGAAGTGTTCCCAACAACATATAATCTCCAGAAGTTCAAAAAGAATTCCAATACCTACCTCCTATCCCTATCCTCCCTAGGAACGCACGATGTTCTTTGAACATTATAGGAATTCCCTCTCGTGCGCTCCAAGCGATAAAAAAAAAAAAAAAAAAAAAAAAAAAAAAAAAAAAAATGTGGGATACTAAGCAAAATATACTAGACCATGGTATAAATGCTCTGAAGGAATGTCACAAACATTTGTTTCCTAACATAAACATTCTTCTGGAACTATTATGTTGCCTGCCTATAAGTGTTGCATCTTCTGAAAGGAGTTTTTCAGCACTCAGAAGGCTGAAAGATTGAATAAGATCCAGAATGGTTCAAGACAGGTTGAATATCTAAATATTGATGATATCATCCAAAGATACGCTAGTCAGAAGAATAGAAAACTTGAAATGTGTTGTTCATTTTTTAAAATTTGATTCTTTATTCTATATATATATTTTTATATTTGTCTGTATCTTCTGTTTTGTTTTTGAAGAGGAATATTTTTTTCTACTTTTGTACTCAAGTATTTCGAGAGAAATTTTTTTCCCTTTTTTCATCCAATATGATTTATTGCAGAATTCTATATATATTGATGGATTAAATCGAATAGTTTGAACTTGATTTTTTTACACCAGTTATTTCGATCCTTGAAAGGAAACTTAAGATTCCATGTTCATTAGTATACATTTTTTTAATGAGAAAGCATTTGTCTCAGAAGGTAACCATAAAATTTCACATTGCCAATGGAGGTGTTCCCCGAGGCATATAACCTCCAGAAATTTAAGAAGAACACCAATCCCCACCTCATTTCCCTCGATTCTCACGATGTTCTTTGAACATTACGGGATATCTCTTTTTGTGGGAACCAGAACATAAAGAAAAAAAAACCGTGACTTTCTATGACCCTCCCCTCAAACATCGTCTGGATCCACCCCTGCATAATCCATGGAGATATTCGTGCCAAATAATGATCATCATTGATTCGATTGATTTTCAAGGGAATGTAGAAAGAGAGCCTGCGAAAGTTCTAACAAGTGACACAAACTCATGGTACCTATACCACCCTTTCCTCCTTTGTTTTTCTAGCTATGTTTCTGATATTTGGACTAGGACTAGGATTTTTTTTCCATCTTACAGTTTTCCTTTGTAATATAAGCGGCAACGTCGCAACGCTGAGAATATTTCAGGTCGATAGAATACAACTGATTATCCAAGGCACCAACTTTTCGGATAATTCTGAGTTGCGTTCTCCAGAAACGTCTAATGTGTCATCCACCGTAAATCACCCTGTATAATAGGTAGGTGGGTATACTATGTAAGTAAGGCTGTAGGTATACTATAAGTATTCATAATATATCGCATGATGGCATGATCAAACTAGTCTTATTATTCATATCTACTCATTAAAATTTTTCCATTCAAGATATCGATAATTCGATATAACAATCATAGAACATTATATTGAAGAAATGATAATTTTAATAGGCAGTATTCCACCCGAGATTCCACCATATAAAGATAACATAATTATTCATATGATAGTCAAATTGTTCTTTATGAATTCAGGAACGAGGTGAAAAAATATATATGCATACATATAGCATCAGTTTTCCAATCTTTCAGGATAGATATGAATTTCGCTCGATGTGAAAAAAAAAATGTTATATACAGTTTTTCCTGGAGCTGACCTTCAAAAATATAGAAGACAATAGATCGTCGAATAAAATAGTTTGAAATTGATATTTAACATGAATATAATCTGATTGAAATCTATGCCAATGGTGCTGCAATCTAGATATGACATATATACTTCACTATTACCATCTATTACCTATGGTAATCAATTCAGCACTCGAAATCAACAGCTGGATTGGTGAAAATCACAAAATGAGATTCACTAGCTGGTCATAGTATCAAATACTCCCTCTGTGGTGTTTCTCTAAAAATATTCATGGTAAATTTTACCACGATGCTGTGTTGATTGTTTTCAACTTTTTGCATTTAGTTTTACCACGATGCCTAATAACAGACGATCAGGTTGTTTCAATGTATTCATTGAGTATATTTTTCTGCGGCGAAAGTTTGTCCCTATTAATACCTAATATATGGTAAGATCACCGAACATAGTCTCTGTTTATGTTCGGTGGTAAGATATACTACAATTCTCTTTTCTGCGTGCGGCGTCACACTTATTATGAATACGGAAACTCTGAACGGGAATATTTTTGTAACCGTTTGAAAGAACCCAAATCGAACCTGGTTTTAATGATCCCTAACCATTTGGAAATCAAAAGTTGATGTCGTTTCCAGGAAAAGATGAATAAAAATCCTAAAATGTGGGAAAGTTCCAAATTGCAGAAATAGAGCTAGAAACACAGGAAGAAAAGGACAGTATACCATGAGTCTGACTCTGTGGTATACTGATTTCTGAAATGCATTGGCGTTCTAAATAAAGAAACTAGTAGAGAGGCGAATACAATTGAATTTTGCTTCTGAAGCAAGATGATCATGTTTCTTAATCAATATTAAAAAAGTGCACACCACAAGATCTGAAATGAAATTTGTTTTAATAAGATAATCTCGCTTAGGCAAGATAATCTTGCTTTTGAAGTAAGATGACCTCGCCTATTAAGCAATATGACGGTTCTTGCTCATTGAACAATGAGATCTGACTGGCCCCCCAGAACTTGTCCAAGAAATGAAACTTACTGTTTATGCCTATTAGGACAGATATTACTTCTTAAGCAAGATGTTGTTACTTCTTTAGACAGATTATCTAAGTTCTCAAGCAAGATGATAATATTTATCAAGAAAAATTGGAAAGATACATATACTAGCCCTCCATATTTCGCCCAAGAAATGGAACTTGCTGTTCAAGCAAAATAGTCTTGCTTCTAAGACGAGATGATGTTGCTTCTAGGGCAAGATGATCCTGCTTGAGGAGTAGAATGTTCCTGCTTGGTAAGCCAGATGATCTGGTTTTTCAAGCTGGATCATCTCATTTCTCGAGCAAAATTGAATAGATACATCTTCTGCCCGAGATATGATACTTGCTGTTTATGCAAGACGATCTAACTTCTTAGGGTAGATGATGTTGCATTTTTAGGATAGATGATATTTTGGTTCGAAGGCGAAATGGTGCTGCTTCTTAGGCGAGATGATCTCGCTTCTTGAGCAAGTTGATCCTGCCTATTAGGCCAGATGATACAACTTCTTAGGTGAGATAATGTTGCTTCTTGAGAAAGATGATCTAGGGTCCTAAGTAAGATGATCCTATTTCCCAAGCAAAATTGAAAAGATACATATACTAGCTCTCCATATGTTGCCCAAGAAATGGAACCTGCTGTTCAAGCAATATGGTCTTACTTCTTTGGAAAGATGATGTTGATTCCAAGGCAAGATGATGTTGCTTCTTAGACAAGATGATCTTGCTTTTCAGGCGAGATGATTTTGCTTCTTAAGCAAGATGATCCTGCTTAAGAAGCAAGATGTTCCTGCTTGTTAAGCCAGATGATCTGGTTTCTCAAGCAAGATGATCTTATTTCTCAAGCAGAATTGAAAAGGTAAATACTGGCCCTTAATCTTTTGCCCAAGAAATGGAACTTGCTGTTCAAGCAAGATGTTCTTGCTTCTTGGGGAAGATGATGTTACTTCTAAGGCGAGAAGATGTTGGTTCTAGAGCAAGACGATTCTTAGTGAGATGATGTTGATTCTTAGGCAAGATGATCCTGCTTAAGAAGTAAAATGTTCCTGTCTAATGATCTGGTTTCTGAAGAAATATAATCTTATTTCTCGAGCAAGATTGAAAAGTTACATACTGACCCATCATGTATTGCCCGAGAAATTAAACTTGCTGTTTATGCAAGATGATCTAGCTTCTTAGGGCAGATGATGTTGTTTCTTAGGATAGATGATCTTGGTTCTTAGGCGAGATGGTGCTGCTTTTTAGGCGAGATGATCTCGCTTTTCGAGCAAGTTGATCCTGACTATTAGGCCAGATGATATTATTTCTCAAGCAAGATGATGTTGTTTAAAGGAAGGTGATCTGGGTTCTCAAGCAAGATGATCTCATTTCTCGAGGAAAATTGGAACGATACATATACTGGCCCTCCATATTTTGCCCAGGAAGTGAAACTTGCTGTTCAAGCAAAATGGTCTTGATTCTTGGGAAAGATGATGTTGCTTATAAGGCGAGGTGATGTTGCTTCGAGGGCAAGACGATTCTTAGGCGAGATGATGTTGATTCTTGGGCAAGATGATCCTGCTTAAGAAGTAGAATGTTCCTGCTAAGTAGGCCTGACGATCTGGTTTCCCAAGAAATATGATATAATTTCTCGAGAAAAATTGAAAAGATACATACTGGCCCTACATCTTTTGCCCAAGAAATGAAACTTGCTGTTTATGCAAGATGATCTAGCTTCTCAGGGTAGATGATGTTGTTCCTTAGGATAGATGATATTGGTTCTTAGGCAAGATGGTGCTGCTTCTTATGCGAGTCAATTTTGCATCTTAAGCAAGATGATCCTGCTTAAGAACAAGATGTTCCTGCTTATTAGGCCAGATGATCTTGCTTCTTAAGCAACATGATATTGCTTCTTGAGCAAGCAAAGTGGAAACAGATCGACTATGGAGAAAACAGAAAACAGGGAAAGCGTCTATTGCGTAAACTCACCTCACCAACAAACACAACAATGAGCGAATCCTCCGCCTCCTCCACACTCAATCCCTCCACCAGGTTCTGCAGCGTATCGATGAGGTAGCTCTGCTTCTCCCTTCTCACCGTAGGCACCCCCAGCACCACGGACACCCCGTTCCTGTTCCTCGACAGCCAGTACCCCAGCCGGAGGCTATTCGGATCGTCCAACAGGTGAGGCAGGAAGTGGTAGGCTGATGGTAGCCTGAGAGTTACTGGAGGATTGACCCCCGATGCCGCGTGCAGCCCAGTCATGTTCTTCAGAAGCTGTCTGACTTCGGACCGCAGCTCCGCTTGGTAGGGCAGCAGGGTGGAGCTGTTGTCGGAGAGGTAGGCTTGGTCGAGGTGCTGTGACATCTGCTGGAGGTCCTCTTGCCTGGACCTGTACATGGAGTCGAGGTACTGGATGCGCACCTGGAGCTCGGCTAGTCGCTGGGCCAGGATCTGCTCCGAGGTCACGTCTGGAACGAGGAACGGTTTGTTGAGGTTCTTGTGCAGTGTTGTTATATGAATGGGGAATTTTCGTTTCGTGGGGAGTTTTGGAACGTTATGGGAGATAATTATTTGTTTTACAAGATGGCAAAGTAGTAGATTGACTGACGCGGCTGATAGTTCGTAGCCGAGCGAAATATCGTGAATTTCAATAATAATTCGAAACACGTACAGCTCTGAGGAGAAAACGGTTTGTGGCAGTGAACAAATTTGGGTAAGTACTGAAATATAATGAGATACAATATCTTGCCAAGATGGCGCCGAAAAACGGATTTTTGCAAAATATCTCCAAAACTGTGTGGTTTTCGAAAAAATATGTTGAGACATTGAAGGGGAAAGTTTCCCACAAATTCCTAATTTTCTTAGGTAATTTTTGCTAAAGAGATCCGTTTAGGCTCAAGAGCAGATCGAATGACAACATATTTTGTTAATCTTCATAAAATGCCCTCGACTATCTCCATAAATGCTCATAAATTTATCTTTTATAATAAAATGAGCTATTCAATTGGTTCCTCTTTATATTCATAGATTGCTGACTAGAGAGAAATTACTATCGAAATATGTTCCTAGTATATTTTGTATCAGGGGTTCCCAAATCTAATATTTCAGAACTACATCAATATTCATCACGATTTAAAATGCTGTTCTTGTTTACACACCACCCAGGAGGTACGTAAAGGACATGGTGCATTTTTTTGTGGTTTTCCCTGTTTCCACTGTTCCATTTAGGTAATAAAATCATATTTGGCAGAGGCCAGACGGACCTGGCTCGTTGATTTCCATATCTTCAACGGGGAAAATGTATTCTCCATTCTCCTTCTGCAGTCGATAAAGGATCTTCTAGCAGCGAAAGAAGGTCTTCTTCATCGGATTCGTCTAGTGCTTGGCTGATATTTTAACAAGTTTTTCCATTGCAGACACCATAAATCGTTGAACATCTCAGTCCTGCTCACCTGCATCCGCAGGCTCTACCACAAGTCGCCTTGCACTTACAAGATAAAAAAGCAAGTAGTGCTTTGGAAGCAAAGTAGTTACTGGAGTGAGGCCAGTTTACACTCTGTGGGTCCAAAGACACAAATGATATCAATCTTGATAAATATCAATACCAGTGTTTTTTGAAGTCGGTTACAACCGACACGACAGCATTCATAGAGATCATAATATCAGGTTCCACTATGGCGTGGCTGTCCGAAAGTAGTTGAACAATGGGGTTGGAAGAAAACACAAACTGGTCTCATTCCAGTAACTACTTCAAAACATCCTGCTTCCAACGCACTACTTTCTTTTTTAATCTTGTAAGTTCAAGGCGGCTTGTGGTAGAGCCTGCGGATGCAGGAGAGCAGGATTGAGATGTCCAATGATTTGCGGTGTATGCAAAGGGAAAACATATCAGCAAGTTAGACTGGACGAATTCGATGAAGAAGACCTCCATTCGCTGCTTGATGATTCTATATCAACTGCAGAGGGAGAATCCGACGAGTTCAAGGAAGTTGACATCGATTCTGATGTTGAGGTAACCATTTTTCTGTTGAAGATATGGAAATCAACGAGCCAGGTTCGTCTGGCATTTGCCACAAATAATTTTAGTACCTAAGTGTTACACCTACAGGGAATACCACGTTAAAAAACGCACCGTGTACTTTACCTATCTCATGGGTGCTGTGGAAACAAGTACAGTATCTTGAATCGAAATTAATTGATCATAAATTGTTAACCATGAATTAATTAATGAATTAACCGATTCATTGAATAAAATACATGGCACTGTCTAGTGATAAATAGGTATTCATAATGTCCTATAATATTAGATTTGGGGGAGGTAATACACTATCATATTATTTCCGAAATTCGCCTCTACAGTTTTTCTATTTGTCGAGGGCATTTGTGCCCTACTTTAGCGAAAATATACTAGGAATATATTTCATAGGACATTTTCTCTAGTCAGCAAATTATAAATATAACGAGAAACCAATTGGATAGCTTGTTTTATCATTATAAAAGATAAATTTATAAGCATATATGGTGGCAGTTTATAGTTTATAAAAATCAACAGAAATAACAAAATATGTTGTAATTCAATCAGCTCTTCCAAACCTGCAAAGTTTCAAAGCTTCCGGACTTATTTCCAGGTAAGCCTCACTTTTGATCCGCCCCTATGACTGAACTTTTAGAAGTTTTCCAACTTCCAACAATCGATCATTTCCAAATATTGTTAGTCCTCCATAGCTATACGGGGTCCTTATTTCAAATAAAGACCTACATTATTTTCACACGATGCGCTGGTCCTTCAATTAGGAGCTTAGAAAACCTAATTCATTTTTTGAAAGTTGAGAAACTTTCAATGAGTGACCAACGTGAACCACCTTGTATAACTTGTGCTTATGTTTATCACAATATCACGAGCATTATTCCGGCGGATAATACATGATGATCTATAGTCATGATATTGCCATCTAGTGGCGTTAGTTAGGACCATGCGGTCACGTCATACACTGTAAGACACCGCCATCTGAAGTCAACACGTGCAGGCCCCTACGTCTACAACGTTGCAAAGTGGTACTATACCTAACTATACTTGAGTGGAAGATCAACCATTCCTATTTATTGAATTAGATCTCATATAACCTATTGAGGTCATTGCTTCGAACTGAGAGATGAGGATGAACAGAGTTGTCTCAATTGTCAACAGGAGCGGGACAGTACTGCTCATTTGGTCCTACCTTAGAACTAACGCCACTAGATGGCAATTGCATTACTATAAAATCTTTGTAAAGGGTGATACTTGGTGATACACTCGAAGCGTTCAGTTGTCTCAGTTGTTTGCAGACCGAGAGCGACTGATGTGGCCTAGTGGGCCAAAGCAGTACATCTTAGATGTCCTAGTTATGAGATCTAGTTCAATTATTCTTTATATTCAGGTAGCTTATTGTCATAACACCTCTTACCTAACCATCACTATTCATCTGTTGTAAACCACTACAATGCAGTTGGAGACGAAATAATTTCATACAGCTTTAAAAAACTTCGAGATTGAATGGCTTTTTTTGGCTTCTCTTCGAAAATTCCTTTCAATTGCACATTATAACAGGTGGAAAACACTGTTTGTATACTTATACCAGATTATGACATGTAGCTTGATGAACAAGAACGAATGCCTGCAATAGACGATGGATATATGAATAAATATTAGACACGTCCATATAAATATTGAAAACTAATCATAGGTGATGAATATTGATTCATTCAATCAATTGTGCTGTGGAATACTATTCATTATCCATTCATTCATCATTCATGAGCTCAAGGTCTACCCGGTTGATAGATGCAGATACATTATTGATTCATAATGATTCCTTGCATTCTAATTTCACAGTTGATAAATACAGTTGAGATATGGAAGTTGTACTTTCTGTCTGAGGAGTAAAATCTTTTTTTTTTCATTTCATGAGGTGTTGATGAGGTAGCTTAGGAAGATAATGGAATTTCATGTCGAACGATTTTTATATTGTAGTGTAGAAACTGAAGATTAACAAAATTGAACCTACGGCGAGGCATGTTTTTAACAGTATGAAAATCTCATCGAGATCGACAAAAGCAGTAAAAATTGTTCATAAAAAAGTTACCGAAGTTAACAAGATATCGAAGTTCAAAAACTCACACAGAGAATAGGCCCTATTGACTGTCCAGGGTGATACAGGCCTTTCCACATAACCTCCTATTCATTCCTTCAGATACCTCATGTCAAGACACCTCCCTCCGTGTACAAACGAAATAGTGCTGCTGCACTTTGGTGACACTCGCCATAAATCAGAAATATAAACATGCAAGTTCATTGATATCTTAAAATTCTTTCAGAATTTTCGGAATGTTCAATCGGATATTTTCCTAATTTATATAAAATATTTCATGAGAGCAATGCTGTTATCGAAAAATTAAAGCGGTTATTGCACTGCAGATCGAAGATTGCAATGCGAAAACATCCCGTCACCATGACAACACATGTAAAACCGTGTCGCTAGACGCCAGTGAACAATACAAATAAAAGTCAGATAGACTTCAAAAAGTTACAAGAAAGTGCAATTTCTATGTCTTGTAGCACATTTTATTGATACCCTTCATCAGTGTTGTGATATTTCTCAGAAAAAAACATTTCTTCGAGAATTTCTTTATGAACAATGGTAACAAGGAACATATGGCAGCCACAGTCAACAAAGCTGTAAGTAACATTAATCTTTTTATTATCTCTAATGCATGATAATCATGAATAATGTCTTTACAGTGTCCCTGAAGATGAAAATAAAGTTTTTGGAAGAAGTCCATGGTAACTCAAAGTGGAGTGGTGTACTTCATAGATGAAAACCCCAAAGTCATCTCCACAACTTTTGTTGAAATGATCAAAGATCATCAATGGTACATGTTTCGGGCTTATATAAGCCCATCATCAGCCGATAAAATAGTTCAAAGTTCTAGAAAAAACCGGTATTGACTTTTAGGATATAATGCAATGATTGATTACATACATGGAAGTGAAAAAAGTTGAAATACAAATAACGTGGACAATAACAGAGCAAACAAAGGCAACTGCTCCATGATCTGGAATACTAACAGTTAAATAGATATGTAAAGGAAATTCAGAATCGGAAAACTTACTGTTAATGTAAAATTGTTTTTTTTATAAAAAAGTATAAAAATTTTAAAACTCTTATGAAATGATCATTCAAGGGTCGGGTTCATATTTTATAAGAGCCCACTTTTCGGTGATTTAAGGGTAGCAAGGGGATCAGGGTTTCATGAAACACCCTGTATATCCCAATGTTCTACATTCTCTCAAAGCATCTAGTTGAAAACTTGATCAAGTATTATATTTTGTGCTGGTGGCCAAAATAAATTAGTTCATCATATAGTTTTTACACTAAAATATTCAAACACGCCACAAAAAGTTGCAGTTAACTATAATTACTGCTTTTAT